CACATTAAGCACAAGCAGTGTCATCTGCTGTGCCAGATTCATCCTAGGTCTTGATCCATTGACTTGACTGGAGTTGCATGTAAGAGAAGTTTGGCTCTCTAGACTTCGAGCACTAAACCAGATAAATGTTTTCATTTGGCAGCCAGGAAAAAAAATCTTAATCAGTCTTACATGTCTTCTGAGTCTCTAAAATTCTGTGATTAGTTGCAGCTCCAGTCTCCTTAAACAATGCAGCACTAAAATGCACTTTTTAAGCTTTGTATGCCTATGTTAAAGAATGTTTTCATGGAAACCTTATGACATACAGCCTGTTTTTAGAACTTCAAATCCTCATGACACTTTCAGGATAGCTGTGTATGCCAAACCATGCGATGTGATTCATAAGTAAAATTAACCTAAGAGTGATGTGCCAAACAGTTTGGAAAAATGTAGGCACCTCTGAACTTGAGGGAATAAGGAGTGCTCTCCTCACAGAGAGGAGTGAATGTCACACCTATCATTACTCATACAGAAACAAAGCTGCAGAAGGAAGCATGAGAAAGAGGTCATCAAAACCTTTAACGGTTTGGAAATATGAAGAAAAACTTCTCTTAAATGCTTATTTCTCATCTGCAGTATAGTCAAAGTAATGAATCAATAAACATAGTAGTGCTCTTTAATTGTGAGCTAAGGTTTGAGTTAGCTAGAGGCCCATATGCTACAGTGTCAATCATTGTCATATGACACTGTATTTAGCCAATGATACTGAAAAATGGGTAACATTTAATTTAAACTTCTTTCTAGACAGGTGGGCTTAACAAGCGTCCTCTAACATGTGAGTGTGTTACATTAAGACTGAGTTATCTTAAGCAATTGTACAGGTCTGTCTGTATTCAGCCAAGTAGGATTTAGCTTTCCATATCCATATTCATATTTAAAATCAGTTCCTGGTTTCTTATCTTGTTCCACCATCCAATTTGCTGTCCCTCAGTGAGCCCTTGTTTAGACCAGACAGTTACCTACCAAGCATGTAGATTATAATGCTGTATCATTGCCAATGATATTTTGACCCTAATCCATCATGAATTACAGTTACACCATTTTTACATCATCAATTTTTTGTACTGTCTTGCTTTCAAACATGGTATCTGTCCATCATATTTCCAGTCCTTTCCATTCCTGTGATCAGGTTCTTTCTAAATCTCCTGTCTCTAATTTCTCTCTTTTAATTCCCATTACATTTGTTTAACCATCAGATTGTTCCTAGTGTTGACTGAGAAACTACATTACAGAGCTTGTTGAATCATGTCTTGTTTCACAATACTCTGGGTTCCCACAGTACCACTTCTACATTGTGAGTGTATGTGAGTATTGTAAGTAACTTGGGATTGACTCTTTTCTGTGGTTAGGAAGTCCATTTTAAGTCAAAGGACACAGGCAAGCATGCATCACCACACATGGGTCCAAAGGATGCTTGTTTATTGAGCTTGATCATTCAGCTAAGTTGAAGGAAGAAGAAATCATGACTTAAAGTTGGTCAGCCTTAAGCTTTCTTTCATCAGTTGCCACTTTGCCAGTTAGTCCTGTTCTGAGACTACTGATTTTCTTACCTCTCTTGCTTATCTATTAGAATTCTTCTCTCCTTGCCCAGCTCTACAGATACTGAACCTAACTCATCACAAACCTTGAAAAACTGTTACCCTCAAAGCAAGATATGCTAATTCTGAGCCCAGTTCCAGACACAGTTCCACAACTGTGGCCAACAAGACGCCTCCTTCATTTTTGAAACTTTGCATAGCAGATCAAAGGCACACACTATTCTTTGTGAAAATAAAAACAAAAACAAAACCCTGCATTCTCATGTCTCCATAGTTAATGGAACACATACCCCAAAGCACATTACATTTTCTAGTTTCCTTATGCTGTAGCACTGACTAAAAAGGCCTTTGCCACTGGAAGCACATGAATATTTATCATTCACGCAGGTGAATTATTTTACACCCTTTCTTAGTGTTACTCGTACTCATTGGCAGAGTTGAAAGAATCTTGGATGAACAGGACAAAAGTTGTTAACAAGTATGATCAGGAAACTGTTCAAGCAGCTAACATTCCCAGCTTTCTCCTTAATACAGCACATACATACACACACAAGGACTATGTATGTGCTGTATAAATCACAACTTATCACCTTGTGATTTATCTTTTATTTGTTAGTTTAAATTGTAAAACTGAAAACTGAGCCCAATATTTTTTTGAGCCTAAGGGGCTTCTTTCTCCCTGTCCCCACTACCTGTGGCCTTGGAGCATGTAAGTTCTGGGCTTCTGTATTAGCTCCTCTGAGACCCTGATCTGGCTACAAGCATGAGTCAGTAAACCAGGGTTGCATTTCTGTTTGGAACAGTACTGTGCCTGGCAGCAGTGTATTGTCATTGAAAATGTCTGATGGATACTTATTCTATAAAAGTGTAACAGTTCCCATACTGACTGTCATTCACATAAGTAGCTTATTTTATTATTTAAAATAAACAAAATCAAATGTTGAAATGAAATTTCAGTTGAAAACCTTCAGTTTTGTTGGGATAAAAGAAGACTCAAGTTACAAAGATACCTGTCATCCAATTCTGTGGAATGAAGCGGTCCCTGAATTGGTTGCATAGGCATCCTGGCCATCCCTAGATACTCCATGGGATGAGTCATTGTTCCTAGGTTCTCTGATCTGCCTTTGCAAAGCTTGAGTGACTTTATAGTGTCAGCTTCTAATTCAGATAGCTGTTAAATGCCTAAATTCGATGGCATGAACACCTTGTCAGTTTTATGTGTGTGTCAATGGCATGGGCATGATGTGCTGTTATAAGGATGGCATTGTGACATGCTGGAGAAATACATAAAATTAACACCGTGCACTGTAGTATATGTCTATAAACAAGCAATTCAGTGTTCACCTTTTCTGAACACGAAGTCAGATTGAGTTGTGTACAGGTAATATTCTCATAAGAGAATATTATTTCAGTGGTTTTCTCTGTGTTATAAACTATGAATGATGAGGGATCCTACTGCCATTTTTAATATAAAAAAGATTTATCAAGACATGTGCCTGGAGAAATAGGTCTCAAAGACTTTATAAGCAAGAGAAGTCTTCAGAGAGTGTTGCTAATATCTAAGGGATGATGATATTTCCTGTCTGGTTTTAGTCAACATCCCCCACCCCCCCACCAAATTTCTGGCTCTGTTTTCTATTTTTATCAGATTTCTCTATGAATTTAAGGGCTGAACACAATACAACAATTATAATGGCAGAGGCTCCACCAAAGGAATGCCTCAAAATTGTTAATTGAAGCAGTGAGTTTAGACATGATGCATAGTAGAAAGCATATTCTTCCCAAACAAAGTATTTCCTCTAGCTTTAGAACAGATTCCTCTTCTATAAACAAATCATTTAGTCCTCTGGAAATTTACATTCCTGTCATGGACAAGATACCCTGCATGGCACTGTGGGTCAAGGTCTTGTTAGGGACTGAGAACCTACATATTACTACTGAAGGCACTAGTGGGGCAAAATAGTCTGGCAGTCCCAGTTCAGGGATCCTGTGAACTGGGTAACTTCTCGTCTTCATGACAAGGCTGTCAATAACAAGAGGATTCATTTGTAGGTCCTTGTTCCTATGTACTTAATACTGCATTGTAAAAGCTTCTTCCTTCTGAAAAATTAGCAGCTGTTGTGCCAGAAATCCAAGGGAGTGGAAGACAAAGATTCTTTACCACAAAAATCTTTGGAGCTTCCATCTTTGGATGTTGATGATTGTGCCTATTAGTGCACTGAGAAAGATGATAAAAGGTGTTGACTGCAGTAGAAGTGGTAGTAATGCTGTACTCAGCGTTGTCTAAGTATATAAGGAAGACAATAAGCTGACAATTGGAAAAAGTGGACCATCTGTGAAGCTCCGAGTCTTTTAATTAGATGATGAAGATGCAAATAATTCTTCTCAATATTTAGAAGAGCAACACAGATTTCTTAAATGCCTATTAAAGGATCAGCAACCATCTAGACTAAGATACTTCAGATATTAGGATGCAAGAATGTATAGTATGTCTTTAAAAGATGAATAGAGTTTTCCTTTCTATTGGATTGGTACAGTCCTAGCAAAGGAAATATAATTCCACCACTTTAAATGGGAGGTAAATTTGACTAATGAGCTCTATATGAACAATTTTAGATTTAGAAATGCTGGTGAGATCTAAGAATTTTCAAGAAAAACTTACAAGGTACAGTAATGTGTTTCTCATTCCACTGATGTCATTGATAAATAAAGTGTAGCTTTTTCACATTTCATATCTTTGCAATCTCTGGTAATCTTTGCAAATGTTACTTATTTAACATCCAAAATCCTCATAGATATAGGTGAAAACTAAAGTATCAGAATTAGCAGGCTAGTCATAGAACATGAATCAGTTAATAATGGTGTCTTATACTTGATAAAACAAGAATTTTTTCTAAGGTCACAACAGAATCATTGTCAGAATCTGAATTAGAACTGACCTGCTCCTGGTTATTTATATAATATCTTAAATTAACTCCTTTCCTCTCTGATAATGCATGCATTTTTTGGTTTATGCGATCCTGTGTTCACTCATCTCAACCACCTCATGCTGATGTCTGACAGTATCATGGCCATTCGCATTTTTAGCCAGTTTAACACAATCAATCTTGATTTCCAGAAAGATAACTAACATCTTTCACTAAGGAGTTAGCACTTTGTTTTACTTATGGAAGTACAGTATTTAAAAACACTTCTTTAAAATTCAAAAAAAGTAATGTGTCCCCAAATATGTTGTCTTAAAATATAAGCAACCTTCTGTATGATTTAAAGAAAGCAATTTGTTTTCTTAATCAGTTTTAACAACCAAGATCATTAAACTTCTGCTACAGAATACTGAAACGTATGCATCAAAATACCTGGAAAAAGTAAGGCATACACCTACGGTTAGAGAAATACAAAATGACAAGTGCAGAGTATGTTTACCTGACTTCAGGTGCTGGGATCCCTACCACAATGCAGTCCAATTGCACTTTGGTTCCTTCAGGAACTTCCCTGCTCTTCAATTTTTGAGTAAAGTGTGGTGGTTGTCCAATAGGCTCATCGGAATATACAGATGTAGATTCTGACTCTGGTTTGAGCTCTGCGTTTGTTAATTGACTGATGGATTCCCAGTTTGCCTCCTGTTGATCATCTATTTCTTCAAGTGTTTTCTCTGTTTTGTTTTCCAAGTCTTGAGGTACTGGAATGGAAAGCCTTTCTCTGTTTACGGATGTGCTAGATAGGCTAGAGCTACCTTTCTTACTCCTGTAGTTTTTGCATGTTCGGGGTCTTATTCTTTCAGAGTTGTGAGCTTTGAAAAGTGATGAGAGCTCCTGAATAAAATCTGCGGCCTTGTTTAGGAATTCCTTTTTTGATTCCGATTCAGAAGGGAGGTGGTGCTTTAGATCTTGAGAGCTCCCCTTGGAGCCCTTTGTATTTCTGACATGGTCCTCACAAAAGTTTGAGTGCAGGCCATTGTCTGCTGTTTTCAAAGTTGGAGAATGGGCCATTTGTTTGTGTTTTCCTGTGTTTTTCAGCAGATCTGGGGGATGCTGTGAATGTGCCTGAAGCTCATCCTGCTTAGTTTCCAGTGGATTCTGATCAATAGCTTGTCTTGCAAGGTTTACACTTTCATTTAGTTCTTCTTGGCTCAAAAAGGCAGAGAGATCTGGAAGGTCATCTTGGGCAGCTACCTCATCTAGATCACCGGAAGCGTTGCCATAGTGGAAGTTGTGAGGAGCTGTTTCTGATCTGCTTCTTTCACTCTTCCCTTGATGTTTAGTTTCAGCTAAGTAACTTTCTCTCAGAAGCTGAGTTATTGAAGTTGAGGATTCTAAACTGTCGTCTTGCATGCTGCCAACAAAAAGGACAAATAGGACCACACCTTATCAATAACAAACTTTTTGATTGCAGACAATTATAGGTTTCTGAAAAGCAGAACACAGCATTTTCAAAGTGCATCTGTGTGCTGAATATTAACTTGTAAGTATGGCCTTGTTTTAAAGGCCTGCTTCTGTATACTGACAGATACTATTGCCTTTAAGCAGTAAAATTACTCTTTTATCACTTTCTACTGTTGGTAGCCTTACACAGCTAAAGCAGCTGTGGGTGCAGTAGTTTATGCTATGTTCCAGCCAAAACTTCAACTAAGGAGCTATTAACTAAGTTTCAATGTCAAATCTTTATCATTGCTGACATGAGTTCCTTAGCTCTAAGAAACAGTCTCACCAGATAGACTAAATGCTGGGTATTTCAAGGAGTGAAAGTTGTAAGAGAATAACGGTGCTTTTAAATTAAGTAAATTTAGCTTGAAAGACACTGAAGTAGTAAGTAAATGAACCCTCAAAATCATGTGGGAGATGAGAAAAGGAAGAAGGGGAGAGAAGAACAAAAACATTCTATAATGACAATTTTTCATTTAAAATTCTTGAAGATATTGCATTATAGGAAGCAATAATGGTGCTAAATGTTCCATACCTTCTTAAATGGAACATGATTTCTAATGATCTATTCAAAGTAAATAGAGAATTATGTCACTACTTGACGTACTTCTCTATAATATGAGCATCATTTATACTACAGGCCTTTAAATATCATTATGTTAGGTCATCCTGGTTCTGAAAAAATGTACCGCAAGAGAAGACAGTATCAGAAAGCCCATACTTAACCTGCGTGACCGATAAGCAAAGCTAAAGTATCCCTTCTGATACTTCAGTAAGTACTTCTGCATAATATTCTCCCTTTTATTTACATAATAGAGGGATTCTGACATCGTATTAACACACTCATCTTAATTCAGCTTAAATAGGAAGACATAACACAAATACTCTTCACAACCTTTCAGAGCACCAGTTCCTCACAGATACTGAAATAAGTGCATCACTATTTACTGGATCTGTCTCTCAAAATATGTAGTCCACAGTATCTCTCTCCTACTTCATTTATGGCCTGGCAAGTCTTGCTGTGATGGTTTCAAATATTTCTAACCCAAGGTGGCTGATTTGTTGCACTGCAGAAGGTTCTGTTCCTGTTGTGGCATCAAGAGAAGGGACCATGCATTCCCTTGCCTCAGCCATTTCCATTTATAGCCTTGTGTAACAGCTGAAGCTGCCAAAAAAAAGAAGACAAGTAAAATAGGTGTTTCTGCTGTGAAAAGCTTTCTTCTCTGATAGTGGGATAGTTGTCCCTGGAAAAGGGCTGGTAAAAAGCAAATGAGGTGGCAATATCTTGTATTGCTGCAGTATTTCTTCCTGGAATGTGACAGTCCTTCATTATTTGCAGAAAGGAAAGCTTCAGTTTAAACCATTTATATTCTTCTTCAATGAATGAACATAAAGCTATCATATTATGATGTGCATTTTGAGACCTCAACCCTTATGCCTGAGGCACAATTTGTTATATCAAAATTCTTTTTCTTATGTAAATACTTGGCATTTTCGATTTCTTGATTTTGTTTTATTTTGGTAATATAAAATGAGCAAAATCAGCAAGACAACGAAGGCACCCAACCAAAATATTGGTGAGTTTGTACATCTACAAAAAAATGACAAATAGAATACCATATAAATTGTATGCTTCTAAGCACCCCATCAGCTGAATACTTGGCATTAAATTATCTGGCACAGTGTTTCAGTGAAGCTGTGCCACATAAGAGAACATTGATTTGGGAAGCCCACATGAGATAATGTTGTAAGCTGTTTCATGACTAGATAGAGTGTGTAATTTAACCTCTTAAGAGAACAAAGAGGTCTCCATGTGGCTTAAAGTTCCCACTTTGTGGATACTACTTCTGCTTGCTCAGCTTTTACTTCTTAAACAGCTGTGCAACCTTACTGAAACTGAACATGTTTAAGGGGTTGTATTATCTTATGTGCTGATAGCGTACTATGTGCTGTAAAGGTCACAGGTAAAGGTACAGCTTCAACTCTGAAGAGTTTAAATACATTCTAACATGAGGAGTTTACAGACTGGAATACAAACCTCACACATGAATAAACTGTAGACCCAGAATATAGCTGTAACGTAGGGCAAGTTTGCTAGAACTCCTCCCCATGTGCCACCTTGTACCTACTCAAAAACAGCAGGGAAAAAGCAGAGCCATAGATAGCCAGCTCTTCTCTCTGCAGTGTGCAGCCAGCTTGCAAAAAAAGAGCAGTGTATGCTTTTAGTGGGATGTTACAGAAAGTGCAGTCTCTCAGAATTATCTCTGGAGGGATGCAGCTCCATGCTAACCTCTCTACATGTGTCTTTGGCTAAATTATAACATCCAGCTGTATGTATCTTTGTGTAGCTTTAGATGCTACAGTGGAAGGTTCTATTTTACGTGGTTAGAGAAGTAGGTGTTTTGCAGGTTTGCAAAACTTAGCTTGCTACATTTCTTGGCCACTTTTTCTGAAACATTTCAGGATGGCACATCTTTTAATCTCAATGTCTGTAAAGGTCATCAGAGCTGAAAAAAGACAGTGCAGGTCTTTAGAGAACACTGGACCATCCAAGGAGGAAAATCAGGTAGGGAAATAATACTGTGTGATCAAAACCTGCTAAAGTCAAGTGAAGTGAAAGAACTCCTGCAATAATTTTATTGAGAAAGTATATGAATATCATTTGACTGTGACTATTCAGGGTTTCCTTTTCCTTTGTTGTACAGATATTTTGCTATATTTCAACAGAGGTTGTTAATCACAGAGCAGCTTTTCTGCAGATAAACATAGTAAAGCAGCTGTTTGTTCAGTATGTTTATTTGAGACTTAGGTTCTGGGTGTTGCATATCTTCTATTCATCTTTTGAACAAAGCATCAAAACATGGAAGAAATAATTTCTGCTAATGAGAGAAATAATTTCTGCTAATTCCCTTGGGGAATATTACTGCAATATGAGGAGATGTTTTCAAAGAAGATATGTTTAGATTGGCAAAATATTTTTATCATTCTATTTTGCAAAAAAGTATAGTGAAGAAGCCACTGTGATAGCAAGAGGAGGAAAATTACATGCATATTACTGCAGCATACTACTGCAACATAACAAAACAAGGGGTGCCTATACCTGGTGAAAATAAAAAAATATAGAGGAAATTAGTCAAATCAAAACTTCCTTGTACTGATGGTTCACTTTGGCTAGCTTTAATGCAGTTTTATAAAGATGTAAAAATCTTCCATTCACATGCCCAAGCCAGACAGCACAACCATAGATGAACGACCATAACCCACTTGTCTGTCACAGTCCTGAGTGAACATATGGGACACAAATGTACTAATCATTGGCCCAGCTCTGGCAGTTACCCCTCAGAGGTAACTGCCAGAGTTACCTCTGGGCAGAGACAGAGCTGTGAATAGGAGAAAACAATCAGTTCCCCAGCAAAGGAGCTGGAACAACTTCCTTCCTTCCTGGTGCCCATTGAGGCAGAAGAGGTAGAAAAGAGCAGAGTGCTTGTGTTAAGAAGCAAGATATTGATGAGAATGATTATGATGCCAAATTCTTAATCCTTAGAGAGACATCACTTTTCTTTAGAGCTCACCCGGGGTCAGGATATGATATCTAACTCTTCTCTATTTTCAGCTTGTGTAGAAGATAACTTTTAGTTCTATATTTAGTAAGGAAGAAGTTGGGTACTAGTCAAAAGTAGCACTTTGAGGCAGTGTGTGGCTACTGAAGTTTTGAGACATCTTGAATTATGTGATATTTCTAATTAAATGTAAAATGTTGAGTTTTAGCAAATGTTGCTGTAAGGCTACCACATAATCCACTTACAATTATTAACTCTGCCTTGCTTATGCCTTGAGAGATGTCCAGTTTTTTGGTTTTTTGGGTTTTTTTATTACAAGGATTTATACTCTCCAAGGGCTACAGAGGGCTGATGATTGAAGGAAGCATTGGGTACACAGTCAGGGGACAACAGCTCTTATTCAAATGAGACCAACCATTCAGCCTGACAGGGTCTCTGGGCTACATAGTAATAAGGCTGAATTCAATACATTTTCTAAAATATCTATTAAACCATCTTTCTAGTGAGTGAAAAGACATTATCAGAGGAAGAGTTACGCTATTACAGGTTTTGGTAATTAATAATAATTTAGCCTTTCTATAGCCAAAATTGGAATCTAAGCTCCAAAATTAAGATCTGATCTTAAATCCAGTCTTTCTCTTTTCCTTTCTGGATTGTTTAAAGTGAGATGTGGAGTTGGCCTTCACATGCCTTGGGCTTTCCCCTTAATTTTTGCTGACTGGGACTTTGGAACAGAAGGCACATCCCACAGTCCCACAGTGTGCAGTGGCACAGAACGCTGGCACTGAGTGGCAGTGCGTGGCACACCACTGCTATATCATGGAGGTAGCAAAACACATCCAGTAGTGCAGATATTTCTGTTGAGCAAATAAGTACAGATAACTGCATGTAACTCTGTTGAGTAAGCAGTAAGGACAAGCTCTAGTAAAACCACAGTAGACAGCAATCTGTGGTGTTAATGAAAGCACCAATAATTTTGCAGACTGGAAAGTCTCTCATAATGAATTTATAAAATGGATTAGAGATGGAAGAAAATGCAACATATACTTAGAACACTAAATAGATTATATTCAAAAATATACATAAAGAAGTAGGATGTCTCCTAAACATGGACATAACATTTAGCCTTCTTGTTCTTAGAAGGATTTTGTTTCCATCAGGAGTTGTTACACTCCTGGGCTTGGAGGCTCCCTGTTTTTCATTATTTAATTACATTACTTGGAAATAGAAGTTTATTTATCTGACATTTTTTATTCATTACAAGGAATGGAATTCAAAACTACTAACGTGTCTAAAAAAGAAAAGTAAACCATCAAGGGGAGGAATTGCAATGCTAGTTATGAATAATAA